CCCCCCTCACTCCACCCCTCCACCCAAGCAGTTTTAGGCAAAAAAACAAGTTTCATTTTAGTAGGAAGTGAAATGAAAGAGAAAAATGAAAGGAGCTTGGGTCATTGGTTTCACTCTGCCCTCTCTTACCTCCGTACATGAAGCTCTCCCATGTACTCCCGCATGGGGTTATATCTCTACCAGCAAAGCCTTTCACGTCTCCATGAAGGAAAAGGTGAAAAGCTCTTCCTGTCACATGGATTAAAGGTGATTATTTCAACTTTTAAATGAATCTTGTACAATTGTAAGATACTTTGTTTTTGAAAAGAGACACTTGAATCTTCTTATAGCCAGGCTTCTTTAAAAACTCTTATGTGCTCACGTTTTACTACTGCTACAAACACAGATTCCCTGTGTATTTGTTTAGTGTTTATCACTTTTATGTCCTTCAGTGAGCCCGGTGCTGAACTCTTCCTACTCTTTTTCTTCTAATCAGAGGTTATGACATTGGAAAAACCAGGAATTTAGGGAGGTAAAGTAAAAGTTAAGCCAGAGGAAAATGCAAATTAGAGGCAGAAATCCAAGTATTAAAAACACTAAAAATAATGATAAAGCAGTATTTGCGGAGGTGCTGGTGGGTGTGTTTATTATTCTGGGCTATAATTTAAAAAAATGGTAGCTGGTCATCTGGTTTAGAGGAATCATTATCTTTTAAAATTCATGGTAAGAGACTGATGAGAAGCCTGGAAGTTAAGTTAGCTCATGCTCGTTTCTCAGGCAGCAACCTATCTTTTGGCAGCAGATTGAAGGTTGTGCACCAGTCCCTGACTCTGCAGATGCCAGCACTCTTAAACCCTTTGATGTCACCCATCATTGTACCTTCTACAAGAACCATTCAAATAGAAAAATACTTTTTTTTTCTCCCCCATTTACAAAGCCATTCTTGTATATATTATGACTTTTAAGGTTTTAAAGTTTAGGTTAGAGTGCACAGCAATGCATTACCTTAGATATCTCTCTTGTGACTGTTATTATTAAGCGGTCTTGGGTGAGACAAGTACGTCATTGTATGTTTAAGCTCATGTTCTGTGATGTTTTATAAAAATGAATGCTCCTGCTTTTCCTTTTGTGTCACCTTGTTCTTGATTTTTTTTTATTATAATTATTTTAAATCTTACATATATGTGTGTTTGAATGTAGAAATACATTTCTGCATATATTCACAGCCTTATCTTGACAGACTGCTAGTATCAGAACTGTGCAAAGCCACTTTTAAACACTGATCTGTTTTTTTTATTATATATATATACATAACTTTTATTCGGCATTTCTGTAATGTACATTTTATCTCTGTGTCCTTTTCTTGGTTGTATTTCTATCCCTGAGAGATGCCAAACAACATTTCAGAGTACCTGAGCATAGTTACACTATAGATGATTTATATTTTATGTAATTTACATTGATTTCCCCCTGACTAAATAAAGGTTTCTATAATTACTTGGACATGATCACAATTTCAGCCACCTCTGATTTAGTTTTAATTAGAATAATGCACGTGAACAAACAACAAAATAAATAAATAGCGTCCCTAGTGTTTAGTTTAATAATGAGTGTATTTTTTTATTCCTCGTACACTCGCATGTTTCTTGATTAAGTTGTGTTCATCAGCATTCGTTTATTTATTTGTTAATAATTCACAAACAACGTGATCTCATTTGTTGTACGAGCAGCGCTGGAATGTGTTCGCTGCGGCGCGTGCTGGCCGGGGAGGAATGCCTTGACCACGCCTCCCCTCCTCCCTGGCGTCCAATCAGGGCGCGGGTACCGTTTCAAGGCGCCCGCGGAGTCCCAACCGTAGAAAAACAAAACCTGGGATAACAACAAAACTCTCGTTTTACACCCAACTACGAACCAGAATTCGTTTTTCCGCGCTAGATCTTCCGTACGCGATCGATCCTCGCTGTTTTCCGTCGCTCCTAGTGGCCTCTCGGGCGATGTTGTTTATCTGTAGTAACGGGGGGCTTGAAACCGCCCTCCCTTGCCCCATTTCCTCGGTTGTTTTCCTTCTCTCGCCTGGATTCTCCATGTTGTTGCTGCAAAAGTGAGGACTCTCAAAAGAGAGGGGGGCTTCTCTGCGATATTACCAGCAATACAATCGGCACATCCGAGAAGACGGGCCGCACGGAGTCTCAAATAGCGTCCGAAGAACATATCCAAGTGCCTTGCCCCCTCCCCAGGCGGACCCTCCGAGGGAAGAAGAAGAAGAAGAGGCGGCGGACGGGAGAATAATAAAGAAAGCCAGGAACAAGATAAATCCTACTCCCATCGAGGATCGTAACTGAGGCGGATGACAAGTTAACTCGGCGAATAATAACGTCAGCTTGTCAATAAAACCCAATGAGGGATGCCCATCAGTACTCGGGGACAGGATTTGAGGATTTTGAGGGCTCCGTGATTGTCAGATGGAAAGTTCTGTTATCACCCAAGTGCAAAAAGAAGACGTCCAAGTGTCACCGAAAACAGGTGAGATTGGGTGTTGTTTACATCCCAAATATTCCCAGTACTCTCTTTTATGTGTACTGTTTTCTTATAAGTGATTAGTGCGGTAAGAAATCGCGTAGTGCGCCCTTTTATTTGACAGTTGCGCGCTGCGGACGCGCGGTAAGAGAGGCGTATTACCCTTTTTTGACATCCACCACCGAGCAGAGTGTAATCTTTACATCTTCTCGCTGGAAAACACAAAGAGACCGTGCCGAAAGCTACCTTAATGTGTTTATTCTGTTTTGCCACAAACCTGTTGTTTTCCTCCACCAATCGACTGCTGTTGAATTTGGAAATAAAACCGTGAATATGAATAAATCCCTGTGTTTGTTTTTGTATCGGGGGCCAGATCACCGTGTAGTTCAATCTCCGTCACTATAGCTGAATTAATGCATCGGACGTAGGCTCAGGTATAAGTTCACAGTCTCCATTACGCACCGAGCTTAGTAGCTATTGTTGATCCAGTTTTTGCCTCTCTTTTTCTTTGGCAGTGTGTGTGCTCTTGTTGTGCAAACCCATCTTTCTGGTGTATTTTTTTTACCCCCCAAGTTGTTCTCGGTGTCGTTGCCATGCCCAGCTTTTCCAAAATAAAAAACGAGCTGCTGTATTTATATCTATCGGGTTCCAGCTCGTTTGGCAACATCCCATATCCTTCTACTACTACCACCAACACCAGGTCGAGAGAACACGGGGAGCCCTGCCTGACTGTCACCACAGGCAGCACTTACAGCTCGGTGTTTTTCAGTCTTCACAAACTACTCTTCGTGTTTTTGTTAATTGACCATGGTGGTCACATATCCGTGCGCCGTCGGTGGCTTCACGAAATAATGCTGCGCTGCTCTTTTTATTTATTTATTTATTTTTAATTTTATCGTTTCATTTGACAAAACAGCCCGAGTGGGATTTGTATTACACCGTGCTGTATATTACAGGCCAAGAGAGCTTTAAGGGCTGCTGATTATACAGCAGGATTGTATAGAAATACCCGGTGCCGCGGTATTGACAGCGGAATGCACAAACACACCCCTCTGCACACGCCCGTTGTAGCGCCGTTTCAAAGATTTCGTTGTTTGCACACTTTGCTTGCGCTTGAAAGAGGCTTTGCTCGTTGATTCAGCCTCTTGGTTGTAGTTATTACAGGTCTGTGGTGCTCCAGGTCATGTGTTGGTTTTACAAAATAATTCTTCAGCATTATTCTTATTATTAATGTCATTTTGCATTGCGTGTTTTGTGAGATTAAGGGATGTTTTGGATTTTGGATCCGTGTGTGTGTGTGTGTCTGCGTGCGCCATTCATAAAGCTCTAAAAGATTAATCTCCTTCTTCTCATCTCTCCATCCTTTTACATGCAGAAGAGATCTAATGTATGCTGTTATGTCACACATGGCCAATAATGTCTTCCTGTGGAAATCAATAGGCTGATTTGCATGGCAAGATGCACATTCGTGGGCTATAAATAATGGAGGTTGTAGTTTTTCCCAGTGAAAATGCTGTGTGCAGAATTACCAAATCAAGATCCAGTGTCCTTTGTCTCCTAAACATGGAGTTGTGTAACATGCTTGTTGTTGTCTGCATTATGTCTTCAGAGTGTAGAAGTAATAAATGTATAAATCTCTGAGTATGCAGTTGTTTGTCACTCTTTTCCACACTTCCTCTTTCTAGCAGGGACTAGAGAGTGTTTATGAACTATTTTAATTCTGCAAGTCCTCACATGAAATGCACTAGAGGGGAATCACAGGGATGTTTTTCCTCCCTTTTCTTACACTGGCGGTGGCACAAGTCTTTTTTTGAGGCTGGGACGCTGGTGGTCACAGTGGCTGATCAAAGACCTGCACAGAGCACTGAGGTGTGACTGCCTGTCCGACTCGCTGGCTGCCTGACTGCCCGACCAGCTGCCTGTCTGGCTGTTCTGGCTCGCTTCAGGCAGCCCCGAAAGGTCCCCGAGTTTAAAATGGTTGGAATGTTTTCTGTCTGTCGAAAGGTACTGCTGAAAAGTGTGGGTTTTCCCGCCCTCTGTGATTATATAACATGTACCAGCCATTTCCAGCAGCAGCAGCAGCAACAGCAGCAGCAGCAGAGGCATTAAAAACAGATTTCATGTGGAGGCTGTGCCATCCCTGTGGACAGATGGATGGTACCTTCAGGAATTAGAGAAACTCAATCTGTGTGTCACAAGCAGCTCCTGCCTAATTATCTTTTATGGATGAAGAGGAAAAAACAAACAAGAAAACATTTCAATGTGTTTGCATCAAGATTTCATTTTGGTATAAGAAAAAAGATTAGATAACATGTATCTGACCCAAGTTGTGGGCTGTAATTCAGGCCTCCACTCACCATGTTTCCCATGTTGACGACACACAGTTTCAGTGTCCGACATTACTTTTTTTTTACCAGTAGAGATGAAAATTTTACTAGCCCAACCCCAAAAACGCAAAATTAGTTATTGCTAGTTTTT